GTCTTGCTTTGTTACCCAGGCGACAGTGCAGTGGTGTGATCTTGACTCACTGCAACCTTGAACTCCTGAGCTCTAGCAATCCTCCCACCTCAGCCTCCTGAATAGCTTGGACTATAGGTGTGAGCCACCATACCTTTTAATAATTTCAAAATTAAAGTAAGATACATGAAATTACAATAAAACATAACAGCATAACAAATTACTATAAAGTACACATCCATGTAACTAATACCCAGGTCAGTAAGTAGGACAGTGCCAGAATATCAGAAGCCCTTTTTAACCTAACTTTGGTTTTGTTTTATCCACTGATATAAATGAGAAATTTCATGTTTGATTATTTTTTGTTTTTTGTTTTTTGAGACAGGCTCTTGCTCTGTCGCCCAGGCTGGAGTGCAGTGGCGCAATCTTGGCTCACTGCAAGCTCCGCCTCCCGGGTTCACACCAGTCTCCTGTCTCAGCCTTCCAAGTGTCTGGGACTACAGGTGCCCGCCACCACGGCCGGCTAATTTTTTGTATTTTTAGTAGAGACGGGGTTTCATCGTGTTAGCCAGGATGGTCTCGATCTCCTGACCTCATGATCCACCCGCCTCGGCCTCCCAAAGTGCTGGGATTACAAGCGTAAGCAACTGCGCCTGGCCTGTTTGATTATTTTTTTAATAAATAATTGGACTTTCTATCTAAAGCTTCCAAAATAGTTTTATCTTCGTTGTAGCACAGAAATTTTATAATTATGTGTCTAGCTTGTATCTTTTCTAGTCAGTCCTGCTTAGAAACTGGTGAGCCGTTTTAATGTGCAAACTCAGGTCTTTTATTGGGGCAATTTTCTTCTAATATTTGTTAATCAGTGCCTTATGTATATATGTTCTCTTCTGGAATTTCTTTTATTTAACTGTTAGGTTTCCTGGGTTTATCTTCTAATTCTTTTAGCTTTTCCTTCAGATTTACATTTCTTTATATTTTTATCTTTGCTTTAAGATATTTCGTCCACTTGTCCAGGCCAGTAATTCTAGTTTCAACTCTGATAATTTACTCTTTCAATTCATTTTACTGACATTTTTTATTTAAAATAATATTTATTATTTCTAAAAAGTCTTTTTGTGTGTATTTATGTTGTAGTTAAAGCTTAAGTACTCATGTTTTTTGTTGTTGAGATTATCATCTGTGTCTTCCGGCAGCTCTGTTTTGTTAGGGTCTACCTTTTCTTTTATTTATTTATTTATTTATTTATTTTTTGAGACAGGTTTTTGCTCTGTCACCAAGGCTGGAGTGCAGTGGCACAATCTTGGCTCACTGCAACCTATGCCCCCTGAGCTCAAATGATCCTCCCACCTCAGCCTCCTGAGTAGCTGGGACTACAGGCACGCATCAGCACCACCATACCCAGCTAATGTTTGTATTTTTAGTAGAGATGAGGTTTGAACTCAAGCGATTCACCTACTTGTGGCCTCCCAAATGCTAGGATTACAGGCATGAGCCACTGTACCTGGCCTAAGGTCTGCCTTTACTAACTATCTTAGTGTTTATCCTTTCTCTGGCTATACCAGATCCACTTAAGATCATTCATATTTTCTTTTGTTGTTCATTGAGTCTCAGGTCCAGCAATCGTGCAGTTGGTAGAAGGTGCACTTGTCTTTCTCCCTGTGACCCAGCAGTAGGGAGGTTGTCAGTCCCTTGTCAGGGCATCAGGAGGAAGTCTCTATGCTCTTTAGTCTCCTGTGCTACAAAGTCTAGGTCTCTTCAAATCCCAAGGGCCAAGTTGGTTCAACCCCTGTGTTCAGGATGCCCTTAGCTCTGTGGACTATAAGACTAGGTCACTGGCACAGGTTAGTGTTGCCCTTTCTCCCTGGACTTCATGGATCTCTGTGGTCCATGTGCTTTTTTTTTTTTTT